TTATGCCGAGCCCTGAATGCAGATTTTTGGACCTGGCCATGGCCCATTTAAACCTAGTCGGGTTTCAATGAAAACTTCTCTAGAGTCCCTTTTTAGGCCCGGCTTTTCATTTTTGGTCCCAGCCATGTGTTTTGGGGCCTGGTCGGGTCTCAATAGTGCCAAACAGATAGCTGACGGGAATTTGACAGTTGGCTTTGTTTGAAGATATTTTTGACCATTTTGGCTCAAATTTTATAATTAGACCCCATGCATTCAGATTTTGAGGTTAGAAAAATTTCCAAAAGCTTTGAAGAGCTAAAAAGACCTCCTTCCATCTTCTTTTCTTCTTTGACCTTCAAACCTTCTTTAGCTATATATACATAATACATACACCATTAGAGCTTGTTCTTGAAACTTTTTGCTAGAGTTTCAAACCATATTTCATAAACTTGAGGGTGTTGGAATCAAGTTTGTTATGACAATGGAAATTAAGGCTCAGTTTAATTTGGTTTGGTTTGGACATTGTCATAGCAACAAATAATCTTCTTTCAATTTGTTTTGTAATTAATCCCCTTCTTTCAGCACAAAATTCATGTACTTCTCTGATAGCTCTAAATATACCAATGGTAAGCATAATTCAGACCCCATCATTGGTTGAAACACACATGAAAAAATAGCATTGAGCGAAGATTCTAAGCATAAATGTAAGAGAGAAGTTTACACAGGTTTTACATAGTGAAACCTAACAATAAAATAATAACTCTTGTATAGAAGTCTTCTAGTTGAACCGGGGAGCAAATTGCAACAACAACAAAAACTCTGTGTCTACACCATTTGGAGGTTCTATGATATGCGCTTATGTATATCCGACATGTGATATTATAATTGGTGATATGACATTGTACGTTGATTTGCTGCCTTTAAGCATTGATCATTTTGATTGTATATTGGGCATGGATTGGTTAACGAAATATTGTGCCACTATTGATTGTGTGAATAAAATCGTCATGTTTAGACCACCTGGTCTGAAACTATGTGCCATGCATAAAAAAGTCTTATAATAACTCTAAATCACACACAAATTACTCTCAATTTCCACATTGCTTCCCATGTAACCACCTATTAAAGTATTTTTCAACATTTCTTCACTAATTTTCCAACAATCCACTTTTCAAAGTTCCTAAATTGCAAGTTAGATGGAAATATAGATGCAATATCACAATTTCACTCAATTATAGATTTATCGATTGGATTTGGAAGTGTAGGAATGGAGTAAATGAGTCTACCAGGTAAAGATTGCCTCTCTCAACGCTCATGTCCAGGAAGCGGAGGATTGGAAGCTTGTGTTGGTTGACAATGTTGATACGACCGGCTTGGTTGGAGTAGATATCGGCTTCTTTTCGTTCATCAATGTTCTGGTGAAGCCTCATGGTGCATAAAGTTTCCAAAACTATATCCAAAACCATCAAAGTCATATAAAAAACTATCCATAGATATTATAATTTCTACTCGAAGTCAAAGCAGATGAAATGGTTTGGCCAAGCAACAATGCATCCAATAGCATCTTCAAGCACAAACATGTCACAATTAGGGCGAAACAATGGTGCATTGACTTTGGCATGGTTAACCCACACTTTCCAACACCCAGGGCCAAGAGGCACGTGATGTACCATTTGTTTAGAATCTGTTGATGCAATTGTGCCTTCCGCAACCACCACCTTTGTCCCATTCCAATTCAACAATTTGCGTTTGGCATTGTCCAAGTTAAATCCATCATTCCCAGTTTCCTTCTCATCATGCAACTATCATGAAAGCGAACATAAAATAAGCTAATGAATTGAAGACATAATTAAGGTAATTAATAATGCCACCATCCTCACTAAATTTTCTTCAAATTTTAATTAAAAAGTATCTTCATATTTTAAGGAACTACTTTTTCAAGCATCATCTCCAACAATACTTTCTATAATTTTTAAGTGTTACTATTAGTACTCTATCAATTATTTTGACCACTCCATTTCTTTGGACCCACACTTATAATTTTTAAAACTCTTAAAATGTTTTAGAATTGGGTTGTTTTAAGCTATTCAATAGGTCAATGTTGTAGAATAGGTAAGAGTCAATACCTTTGAAACCTTTGCTGGGAGCTTATATTGCTAAATATGCTTATATTTCTTACTCAAGCATATGCCCTGACAACTACCCAAATCATTGATTGATTGAATTTTCATCTAAATATGTATGAACATGAAAATTCCTTCTTCAAACATAAGTTGTTGATAATAACAATACCTTCTAGTTGTTCAAAATTCTTTAACTTCAGTTGCATCAAGAAGTTACTCTTATTCTTGGTTTTAAATCTGAAGAAAATTACAGCAGTAGACAGATGGGTTCATTGAGAATTACAGCAGTATTCTTGGTTCTACTTTAGCAGAAAATTACAGTAGTAGAAAATTACAGCAGTATTCTTGGTCTTACTTGAGGTGATGTTCAATGAGATAATTCAAAGATTTTATGAAAGAATTTAGTGTTCTTTATTTCTTGTTTATACCAAACATTGTCCAATTATTATATGAAACATTGAGAGAACTTCTACAGTTAAATGGCTCTCATTAGATTGGTTTGGTAGCTATGCTTAGGCCATTCACTACAAGAATACTGGGATTTAACGGCGTTTATTTAATGACGTTTAAAAAAATACCTCTGTTTCTAACATTTAACGGCGTTTTTATAAACGTCGCATTTTTCGTTTAATAATACGACACCGTTTTCATTTCAGAAGTCGTTTTAAAAACTCCTTTGAATGTACTTTTTTATTTTTTATTTTTTTAATATATGAGAACATAAAGTAGCGTATACACTCTCTCTCGTCTCCCTCTTTCTGACTAAACCTTGATTTCACTCTCTCTCACTTCTCTTCAAACCCCTTCGTATTTGTAGAACCACAACTGAACCCCTTTGTATTTGCAAATCGATTCATGTATTCGTAGATCGATTCAAGTATTATTCACTCTCAGTCTTGCTCTCTCTCTCTAAACCCTTGATTTCATTCTCTCTCGCTTCAAACCTCTTTGTTTCAGAGACAACTCTTCATATTTGTAGAACCGTAGCTGAAACCTTTCGTATTTGCAGATCGATTCAAGTATTCATAGATCGATTCAAGCCTCTTCTCTGGTTCGTGGTCGCGTTCACGTTCGCAGCTCTTTCTTCATTGTAAGTGTTGATCAGTCTCATCTCTATCTTCTTACCGACGGAATCATTCGATTCAAGTATGGTAGGTTTCGATTGAAGATTTATTGATCGATTGAAGATCATAATGTGTATTGTAGATGTTAAAATTGAACACAAAATACATACATGAATATATATGAATAGATTGACAATTTTTTTAAAAATAGATCTCAATAAGAAACTCTGTAACCTTTTATATATTCATTGAGCTTCAGAAGAGCATTTTAATGTCTACTTGAAATGAACCAAAAAAAATAAATAAATAAATCTGATGTTATAACTTTGTTTTTAGATAGCTGACACTTAAAGTAACATTCAAGATCATAGATTTCTACTGCGCAATTATGTGTAAAATAATGTTGGTGCCATTCAATGGTTGTGCTCTTGATTTTCAATATTTAAATAAATAATAGAAAAGCCCAAAAAGAGAAAGCAAGATAAAAGAAAAAGAAATAGAAGGCTGGGAAATAGTTGTTAGTACTTCTAGCTTTACAACTTCTTTTATTTCATTTTGTTTATTATTTATTGTTTTTTTAACTGGTTCAACTTACCTATTGATTTGAAATTTAAAATATGATTAAAAACGTTAGATGTTACTTATGAAAGAAATTGTCTACATTGTCTGGTTTTATACATAGAAAGTAATTCCCCATGAGTAGAAACAAATGGAAGTGTATTGATTATTTAATTAGAATGACATAGCTAGCGGTTTGTGGTTTACCTAATTACTCTTTTTGGTGAAATGAAAGAGGGAAGGGGGGAGGGGTGTGCACTCTCATTCCATACCACTATATATATTCTCTACAATTGTGAATTAGAGTGAAAGTCTTTTTAAAAAGTACCTAATTACCTATAAAAGCAATAAGTTGGTCATTTTCACTTATGGTTCTTTGGGGTTGACTTTTGATGACATTTGATCATGGTTACATGCTCAGATTCTAACCTACTGTCTAATTTGAGCAAGCTGAGACATCTGGATCTAAGTTATAATAATTTTGACGAGGATGCCTTCAGGATTTTGGGTGCCCTCCCATCCCTTAAATTTCTATCCTTAGTGTCCAATAGCATGGAAGGACCACTTTCTAACCAAGGTATATGTGTATTTTTTATTTCTCAAATTCATGCTAGGTAAGTTAATTTTTTTTAGCTCCATTTGAGTGTTGAGAAGACTTAAAATAGTTGGAAAAATGAAGTCTTACAGCTAGCAATTTGTGCAAAATTATAGTTCTTCTTTGTTAAATATATCTTTCTGGAATCTATTATTGCCATCAATGGCATCATTGTCCTTAATTTTTTTTAACATTACATTTTCATTTGATATTGAGCTACTAACTGAGGTGCCCATAGAATATAGTTCACAACATCAAATTATATATATCTCTATTTTCCTTATCTCAATCTAATTAATGAGTCACTTTACTTGGGTTACAGAATTGACTTATAATCTTAGCAATTTGGAGGTCCTCCTCCTCAGAGGAAATCTGCTCAATGGAACACTACCAATGGAAGGCGAGAATTTTGTTATTTAAATTGTCTTAGGATCACCTTGCAATCTTGATTGTATTTTGCTTTTATTTGTTGTATGATGATTATGTTTTTTTGAGTATATATTAGTTACCATGTAATGGAAAGAAGTATGGGTAATAAAGAAAGTTCATGGTGATTTTTTGGTGTTTGATTATCTAAATGTTGATTGAACTACAATTTTTCAAGCAACATATGGACTAGATCTAATGGTGATGCTTATGGAGGTATTGTGATCATTCTAATGTTATTACCTGCGAATTGATTTTTAGGTCTGGAGATTTTTAATAAATTTTGCTGACGTTCTGGGGCTTTGGCCATTTATGCTAGATGAATTTGTTCAAGCTTTTCATGATTATGTAAGTTCTTGAGATCCTTGTATTTAATTTTGCCTTTAGACTAATTGCTTTATCCTTACTCTCATCTTATTGTTTTAGCTGCTCCCTACTATTTTCAGGATCGAAGGTTGTTAGGGGAGATTCATGTAGCTCTTCTAAGATCCATAATTAAAGATATTGAGGATGTAGCAAGGACACCCTCTTCGACTGGGCTGGGAGTAAATCAAAATGCTGCTGCCAATCCTGGAGGTGGCCATCCACAGATTGTTGAAGGGGTAAGCTTTGTTCTGTGGTTGGTTTTTGTTGCTGCTTCTATCTTGTTGTCAATTGTGGCTTGATTTTGTGCTTATTCATTCTGAAATACTTTTTATTCCTTTGTTTTACTTTCAGGCGTATGCTTGGGGCTTTGATATACGCAACTGGCAGCACCACTTAAATCCATTGACCTGGCCTGAGATATTGCGACAATTTGCTTTATCTGCTGGATTTGGGCCAAAATTGAAGAAAATGAGCATTGAAAAAACATATCTTAGTGATGAATTAAGGACAAGTTTTGGTATAATTCAGCATAAGCATATATAAATTATTGAAAACAAATATTATATAAAGGCTTGTCACCAAGATCTGGAGGACCTGGCCAGCTCAAGATCAGCATGAATGTGAAGTCATCAGATTAATCTCACTTCCGTTTTTTGTGCTTGCATTCCTTGTCCCGAGCTCAGTACCTTCTCCTTTATAGGGTAGATTAACCTCACTTTTGTTTTCCTTGCATCCCTTGGTTCTCTCTCTACTCTTCATCTTCTTCAATCAGAGGTTTGTTTTTCTGTTTGTGATTTATCTCTATTTTGGATCAGTGTTTTGAAAAATGTTGCATCAATGTTTTGAAAAATTGGTCGTAGTGATTTCATCTCTGTTTCAGTAATTATTTTTCACTGATGTGTTACTATGCACTATGAGATCTAGATTGTGCTTTCAGTAATCGGTCTCAGTGATTTCATCTATGTTTATATTGTGTTTGATCTGTCATCGATGTGGATATGGATTTTTATTTTTGTGAATTCGTGTGTGATTGTTTGATTCTGTTTGGAATTGTGGAATTCACTGATCTATAGAAGTTTGGCAACACTAATACTGGGATGATTGTTAAAGCCTGATTAACATGCAGTGTTTTTATTCAATTGTAGGTAAAACCAACAAAAGCAAGGTCAAGTATTGGAGTTACTGTTGCATATGGTGTTACTAATTCTCTTAGAAAAGCTAATGAAATAATTTCAGAGGTAATTATTCTTTCTCCTTCCTGTATCTTTCTACAAATTTTTTTGACTTTAACAATGAAGCAAAATTTGAAATGGCAAGTTTTCTAAAAAAGTTGGACCAATTTGATTTCATCAGGGTATGCCGAAATAAGTATTTAGTATCTGTGACCCATAAGAAATTTCGTTATGTATATCAGAAAGTAACTCTTGTCTTATTATTCTCTAAATGAATATGAATTTGATTTTTTCAAAATGTGGTAAGAAAACATGTTGTCAAACTGAAGATTTATGCTATTTTCTCACTATGTCTGCCTTGAATTTATTCACTATGTCTGCTTGATTTGTTCCTTTATGTTTGTTTGTTTATTTATTTGTTTGGTTAACGGAAGAGTATCATTATGTACTCCCATTTAGAATCATAGATTTTCTATACCATTTCCAGAAGGTTCTTGAATATTTGGTTCCAAGGCCCATCACTTATCCCTATGATGATTTGGTCCATAATGACTTCTGATCAGCTGTCTAATCACAAGCCTTACCCAATGTGTATTGTGGTTTGTCCCACAATAAACTCTCGTACAAGCTGGTCATGTATCTGTCATCTTGCCACCATATCTCTCAATTACGTCCTTGGATTCTCTATGTTTGTGTGTGTGTGTTGCGTTGACCTGTATGGCTTTATCATGAATATTTGTCTTGTTTAACTTTTTTAGGATCTAAATTGGTCTTAAAACAAATTACTGTGTATATTTTGGGTTCTAATCTAAGGTTGTTTTACTTTTTAAGGCATTCAATTGTAACAATGAAGGCTGCCAAGGGTAAGGGGGCAGCAATCAGGGTCCCAAAGGAGGCATTGAAGCCAGTTGATGACAGGTTTGCTAAGTTTGTGTAACATTTTGGTGGTTGTAGTTGCATCTTTGTGGGTTTTTTTTTTTTTTTTTGTTTGTTTTGTTTTTGGTGTTTACATTAATGTGAATGACTCTGTTTAATGTTATGATCTTACTAGAAGTTTCAAGGTCGAGTCAAATGAGTTCTATATGCATCTAATCGTTATATTTAATGGTGGGTATAGGGGTAATAGGGATATTATAATGACAGATCATATATATCTCTTCTTTTCAGAAAGGTCGGGAAGAGAAAGGTTGCCACTAAGGCAAATAAGGGTGGCAAAAGTCAAGCCAAGAAGGGAAAGTTGGCTAAGAAAGACCCCAACAAGCCTAAGAGGCCTCCCAGTGCCTTCTTTGTATTTCTGTATGTATTGATCTTGTTGCTGTACCCATTAGAAATTATTTCTGGGGTTTGCTTGATATCAAAGAAAGATAGCCTTTGATTTGAGTCTCATAATGTTACAGCGAGGAGTTCAGAAAGACCTTCATGAAAGAAAATCCTCATGTGAAAGCTGTCTCAGCTATAAGTTCTTTGTGAAAATCTCATGGGAAAATAATGTGAAGGAAACTTTTTCAAGGCCACTCTCTCCATGTTGTTCACACACACACACATATATGTTGGTGGTCTGTGCTGGCTGTTGTCTTAGCCAAACCTTCAAGAAATAGAAATCTTTACATGTAAACAAATCTCTCTAGTTACAATCTAGATGGGTGCTTCTAAATCAATCCCTCAAAAATCCATTCATGATTTCTCAGTCAAGGTCTCTCTCTCTCATTCTTTATTTGTTTTACATACATGTATATATGTGTTTGTTCAAATTGTTTTGCTTGGATTCTGAGAAAGTTTGGGATTTGTTTGGGATGTGCAGTGTTAGGGAAAATATGTGATTTTCCACAAGTAAATCAATCAATGGAAATAAAAACTAATGCAGAAAAATTAAATCAAAAGCAACACAAGAATTTTTACGTGGTTCCCTCAATGTGAGGTACGTTCACGGGATCGAAATCCGATTCCACTATCAACCAAAGAGTTTCCGAACGATTACAAACGAGACACTAATAGTCTTACAAACCACCCTTAGGTGAATTCCAAATAATCATGAATAAACAAAGAGGAAAGACCTCACCAAATAGATGAACCAAAATCTTCAGATCCAGAGTCGAAGAAGATCCAAAATAATAACCAAATCAATCCACACAAAGATTGCCAAAATCCACCCACTAAACCAAACCAGTAATATGATTGTCGACAATGATAATTAGCCCACCAAAGATGATCAACTTTTTGTAACCCACCGAATTGATTTTTCAATCAATATAATTTGTTGCAGCACATTATCTCACAAAGAGGAATTAATCGGCAGCCACTCTCTTGGAAGAAGAAAACAATGTATTGTGAATCTAGGGTTTATTATCATAATCTTAGTTGTTTCCAAACTAAATTGGGTCTCCACAAAATTAGATATAATATATAAAAATATATTATAACTAATCCCAAATCAAATTAAACTCTTTTAATAAACCAATTGGGTCCCACACTCCAATAAGGAGGTATACCCAACAATTCTCCCCCTACCGACTTAGGTGGAGATATCAACCATACCCGCCAAAGTTCGACACTTCAAATGTTTCTCCCTTGACAAAGTCTTTGTCAACATATCCGAAATATTATCATCTGTGTGAACCTTTTCGAGTTGCAACAATTTCGAATCT